TTGACTCTGGGACTTGAACTGAAGATGGTATGATCCTCATCCTACCCTAGTGAGAATGGGACACATCCTCATTTGCCCACTTTCCATCGTGGGATGGAGTGATTCTCATTTCTGTTTAAGATCCCATTGCTGCACTATCCTCTCCCTTGTGGATGTGCTCCCTTTAATGTTTCTCAATATCTGGTCCTCCTGATCATGTCCAGGTTGTTGGCAAAGAGATACCTGGTTCAGATGTTTTGCATATAGAGGGCTGCACAAAATGAGATAAGTTAAACTTGTGAGTGGAGGGAAATATCTATAGGAAACACATTGTCATTTAGGAAAATTAGGAAGCATACTTTCCGTTACAAAAGGCCGTTTCACAAGGGTTTTATGTCAAAAGCACACCATTACTACTTGAACATATTACCATATTACTTTATGAGATCGATGGCTTCTTGATATTTGTTTCAAAAGTCCAATCACACAGAAATCTATAGTGATGCATCTGTCAACTTAACCAGTATGTCCCCATCTAGAATAGCATGAATACTTGTTTCTTTTTCTTGCTGCTTGAGATATGTGACAGTTGAATGGCTATGTATAACCATGACTTCTGTCACTTTTTCTTCTTGATTATGTTGCATATGCTGTTGCATGGGGCACCTGGAAGGCTTTTAACACTGATCTTTGGGTTTTTGAATTCTCACCTTTTGCTGAAATTTATTACCATTGCTGAGATATGACTTATTGCATGTTTTGTCTGGTTGGCATTTGTTCACCAAAGTGATCCATATGGCTTTGTTTTCCAATGCCATTAAGAACTTCTAAATATTGATCTGAATACAATTTTATGATCTGAGTGTATGAATATTTTGTGCTAGATAGGGCTGTTGCATCCCTTTCCCAAAAGCAATAAATTTTCACTGACAAAATGCCAAGCAATGTCAAAATGTAGTTCTGATACATATCATTCCACCACATATTTATATTGTTACGACATCGAGATCATATGACTAGTATCACGCCACGTCGTTCTCGAACATTCACGTCCTTTCCTTAAATCTCGTGATCCTTCTAAATATAGTGTAGTCTTGTATATATAAGACCGGCCACTAAGCAACGGGGAGGTGGAGTAATTGAATGTATGCTGATAGAGAGAATATTATTGGGCACGTGAGACGTTCATTGAGAATTATATCGTTTGTTATAGAGCGACTGTTGAAATTAAGTGTATCTTAAAGTTGTATTCGGAAAGAATAAACCAGTTTTATTTGAGAAAGGACTTGTGTCGCTAAAGTTTCGTCGGAACGAATTTACGGAATATTAATGAACGAACGGAGGTGTAACAAATTGGTGTCAGAGAGTGGAACAAAAAAAAGGGAAACGAGAGGCGGAAAATCAAACTACAGCTTAGCAGATTTGATGGCAGCAATACAAGAACAGCAAAAGAAACAAGAAGAACGAGAAGAGAAATTACAGCATTTCTTGGAGGAAAAATAAAAGAAACAAGAAGAACGAGAAGAGAAATTACAGCAGTGATTGGAGGAAAGAGAAAATAAACAAGAAGAGAGATTACACCAGTTGTTGGAGGAAAAAGAAAAGAAACAAGAAGAGAGAGAACAACAGTGGCAGCTCTAACAACAAAATAAACAAGAGAGATTACAGCAGTTGTTGGAGGGAAAAGAAACAAGAAGAGAGACAACAACAGTTGCAAGAAAACCTGCAACAGTGGCAGCTCGAACATCAAAATAAACAAGAAGAGAGATTACAGCAGTTGTTGGAGGAAAAAGAAAAGAAATTAAAGCAGTGGTTGGAGGAAAAAGAAAAGAAAT